TTCTTTGTGAATTAAAGCTTTGAAAAGACAAACACAACAACACAACCTCGACCCAGGAAAAATGCCTGAACAAAAACCACCTTAAGATCTGAATTCAGGTTAAGAGAGTGAACTGCTGCTCAGGTTAAACTTTCAGTTACACCTGGAAGTGATGTAATAGTTACTGTCACAGCAGCAGGTGCTAACATTAAACTGACTGATTTACAGACAGCAAAGCAAATAAAAACAAACCAAAAACAATCTTTTTATTACACAAATGAAAATGTAAAGTTTCACATTAATCATTGATAAATAGCCCAAAGCAGAGGAGTCACATGTGGCTAATGCTACAGTTAATTTATACTTAAAATACTATTCTGCCTTGATTACATCTGTCGTGTGGCTCCTGCTAATGTTTTGGTCGAAAACTACTTAAAATGACTCTTTAAAAACTGAAGGTTTCTGAGCGGCTTCAGCGTGTTGGAGGAGATGTGGTGGAAACCATCACAAGCACTGGGAGAAGCATCATCACACAGGAAGGCCACAGACGAACTGGAGGGTCAAACACAGATCAGCTGATGTGATGAAAGTCTGCACTTTATTCACATGTTGTGTTAAAATCCACTGTGGCAGTATACTTCAACACAAATACAAAAATAATTTTATTTGCCCAGCAAATGATGAGTTATGTGACTCAACTGTGAATGAAACTGAAGTCAAATTAATTAGAATTTATATCCAAAGCCTGGCAGAAATGTTGTCTGAATCACTCACTGAAAAAAGTCTTCAGTGTCTTTGGTGAAGGTCGTCACAGATGGAGATCTGTCAGCACTAAATCATGTCAAAAATATTCTCTCTGATGTGTTTTCAGATCCTCCTGTGGAGACCGAGCAGGCTGCTGCCACAGAGGTGAGTTTGATCAACTTTACTCACAGCGTCAGAGTTTTGGTGAAATTAGTAAGAAGAATTTTATTAGTTCAGCAGGTTTAAAGATAAATATCACACAGTGCTGATAGCAGCATGCTAGAACATAAAACATGAGCTCAGAGACCTGCTGCAGACGTGTGGATGGAAAAGTTCACTGAGTACAGTCATACTGTGACACTATGGGACTTCACTTAAAAAAGGGTTTAACAACAGTCACCTTAATGGTTTCTGATAGATTTAGTAAATGTGTCAAAGGGACTTTCCATTGCCTTACACACACATCTGTCAGGAGCACAAACTGGGACTATTTCTTCTTCAGGTTGGAGAAAGTTATCAGTGATCCACCTACTGTACACAGGGTCTGCAGCTCACAAACATTTTGGGGTTTGAGAGACATGAGCTGAACATCATGTGTATTAAAGTGCTCAGAATGTGCTGAAACAGTAAAGACCCCAAAACA